CAGATCATCCTCGTGGCTCTCCTCTGGACACGCTCCAGCAGGTCCATGTCTTTCTTATGTTGGGGACTCCAGAGCTGGATCCAGTACTCCAGGTGGGGTCTCACGAGAGTGGAGTTGTTAATAATAATACATAATTATGGTCACTCAGGCAGACACCCGAGGTTCCCTGGCAGATGAGGAACACACTCCAGTTCTATTATCTTTCTTAGGGCGTCTTTGCGCTGCTGTGGGAAGGGAACAACGCACACATCATTTTCTGTAGTGCAGCAGCTGGTACTGCCACAGCCTGCTTACAGATCTCCTCAACTGCCCCATCTCCAGTTTAGAGACTGGGAGGAAAGAAATGGTACTAGTCAGGTAACAGCACCATGTACTACAGAGTGAATTTTCTATGAAAATCCAGAAGACAGGAGGATGATTATTTAGAAAGACTAAAAAGCCTCCATAAATCAAAAGGTAAAAAAAGGCCATTGTTTAATTAATTAAGAGAGGCAATATGCATCAAAATAAAATTATGAGGTGAGCAGGTGCTTTCTCCCTTACATAGGTTGCTTTTAATAGTGTATTTTGTCTTTCATAACTGAGTTAGTCTTTGAAAATTCAGAAACATTAAATGTCGCATATAGTCATAATTGTGATAGATGAATAAAGGAATGCTGTGAGATAAAAGTGCAAGTTAAAAAGAGAGAGACAACAAGCTCTAGCACACGAAAGAAAAACATTTCTTTCCTGGGAGACAGGCCACAGAAATAAATATGTATCTAGCTGACATTTCTTTGTATCTTATTCAAGCAGAATAAAACTAAAATTATCTCACATGCCTATAGGCTGCCCCGGTGTAAGGAATAGAAATGTAGAAGGGATTATTTCATATGTGCATTTTCATTTGCTTCCTTTCTGAGACACAAAAGCAGCTCATTCTAGTTGCTGAGAAATCATTTGGTAAAATAAATCTTTTAAAAATAGAAAACATTTCCACTTAAATATTTTTTCCGACACTTCATGATAAAAGTGAAGTACTTTAACCAGAGGCAAATCCAGCTGCTTAGGCTGACCTTGGAAAAAACATTATATGAGATGGCTAAAAATAAAAGTACAATTTGGGAAGAAAAGCTATACGGGAATTTTCCTCTTAGAGCTTTCTTTGCTGGAGCAACAGTATCAATACTGAAGGAAAATATCTAGTACTAACTAAATTATTATTTTATAGCAGAGGTAAAAACTACAATCTGTCCTTCATAAGTAACTATCAGCCTTTCTTTGCAACCTGGTGGTAAAAAGAGTGAGAAAAAGATGATTGGTTTGGTAGAAACAGTCTAATTTCCTTCGTGACCCATGCAGGAGCAAGGCTTGCAACATCAGATACTGTGAGATAAATGGGCCTCATAAATTCATAATTAATTGTACGATGTCCTACCCAACTTAGCACTCAGTGGAAAAACCAGCAATGATGACGACTTTCAAGAGGAACATCTGGAAGCATGGCTGCTGCTGGTTTGCTCCTTCAGCCACTGTGGTTTTAGTAACACAGATCATTTACTCAGGACATGAGGACTATCTTCTCAGCTTCGAACCCCCTTGTCTTCCACTTCCCCAGACGGTTCATTAACCACCAGGGGCAGTGCTTTGGTCCTCCTGTTTCGGCTGTCTCACTGTGCACCAAAAAAAATGTCAGCCAGACAGCCACAGGAATAAATGGCACTGTGGCCTAGAAATTAGGGATGCTTGGATGGATTCAGGCTCTCGGGGCTATGTCCGTTCTTACCTCAGGATGTTTGATATAAAGCCTGGGAAAATGCTAACTGCACCCATCCTTCTTTTTTTAGTCTATAATTTTAAAGAGAATGGGATGCCCGTTCTTAGTCAAAGACTCTGGAATTTGAATGTTTCTGCTCTCCTTTTTCTAAGCTTTAGAAATCGTTAAGTTCAGACTCATACAAAACATTTATTTATTTATTTTTAAACCTAGTTACTCTCCTGTCCATCACGAAGATATCTTTTGTAACTCCTCCAAGGTGCCTATTTCCCTTCCTGTACGCCCTGTATAGAAACTGGGTTTGGGCAGGTGACTTCCTGCTCTTGAAAATCTGGGAGCTTAGGAATTCTCTCTGCCTGTGGTCTTTGGAGCTGTCCCTGAGTAATTTCTCCCAGTTTTGGGGAACTGCTGTCTTGTTCTTGCAAACCCAACTAGTTATTCTGCTATCAGACACGTAGGTCTGTCTGGAGCTCCCACACATGGCAAAACTTTCTGCCTCAGGCCAGAAACTTTGCCCATAGTCTCTATTTTTCAACGTCTGGAATTATAGGTCAAACAGAGCTAGACAAGGCAATATGGGTAAAGCTTTATTACTTTTAACTTCCTCATGAAATCAAATTTGATCTTTCTCTATAACTAGAAGATTTTGAAGCTCTCATTTGTATTTTGTTCAGCTCTTCTTTGGTAAACGTCGCCCCTCTGCTATGTGGAGGTGCAGAAGGGAATTTACTCTCCCTCAACTGAACGATAAAAAACAAGGCTTCAGTGACAAATGTTCTGCTGGAAAATACAGTAGAACATCTACAGTGCTATTAAACTAATAAGTGTTGGTTCCCTGTGGCGCCGTTTGTGGGAACTGTGAGCTCCAGCAAGGTTTGTGTAAAGCGAAACAGATGCATGTGTGTTGAAGAGTGCTCGGTTGTTGTATGACCTGTCCTCACAAGGGCTGAAAGAGAGGAAAAATGCAGCTGAGTTTGATGAAGTTGTTAAAGCAACAATTTCCTAACTTTTTAAGCACATTTAAAAAAAAAAAAAAATTATACCTTTTGCTTGTTCAGTCAAATACTGTGATACTTTCTGTTTGAAGCATAATTTTATGTAGTGAATATACCTGCCATCTGTATGTGCTCTGGTACAGCTGCCTCATATCAACCCTTTATTTAGTCACATTAATTATAAAGGTGACGTAGGTTATTAGTAGGATTATCTGCTTGGGTTGACTGTGGAGTTTTGCTTAAATGCTGAATATACAATATTGCCCTGAATTCCTTAACATTTGCAGCAAATAACTATCTCTCAATTTTAGTCAAGAAAAATTCTGCTGTCAGGTTCAGCCATTGCCCTCATTTATGATATTACCATCTGTCCTTTGTAATGGAAGTTAGATCTGGCTTTCATGCTCACCCTGCAATTGTGTGTAAAAGTATACCATTACCCATACAACAGCCACTTCTTGCATGCTGACTGACAGATTGTTACTTCCCTCTTCTCTTACGTGCTATTTTGCTCCAGTAAAAGAAGGAAAAAAAACCTCCAAGAAATACTTTAATCAAATTATGTATGTTGTGCTTTTGATCTATAATATATTTCAAATAATCCAGCATTTTTATTCCATATGCAGAAAATTATTTTCTGAAATATTGTACCTATTGATCCTAAACCTGTAAATCTAGATCTGACATTACGGTGGGTGCTTATTATTTATCTGTTTTTCCCCTGTCGGTAATTTTCACAAACTTCACATTACTGGAATCTTTCAAAGAATGCTTTGCTTTATTTTATTTTTGTTCTCCACAGTATTAGGAGGGTTTTTCTGCTAGGCATCTCTTCCAAAGCCCTTTCATTTTAAGGTGAAAATGTGATTCCCAAATACTTTGTATCACAGGGAAAATGAGAGTTTAGTGCATATCTGTGTCTCCCTCCGCACACCCCCTGTGTGAGCTCAGCTCATCGCATCAGACAGAGCTTTTGGGTTTGTCTTTTTCTCTGCGTGTGCGTGCCTTGAAATGGCATCGCGGCTGTGTGTTTTCCATCCACTTTAATGTTCTAAGCCAGATATCAAGGGAGATGATAAGTACAATACATGATGGGTTGAGTTAACAAATGCTAATTTTATTTCACGTAAAAAGTATTGCTGTTAACTGAAAGATAATTCTGCAAAGCTTGTCTCGCCTAAGCTGGTTTTGCTGTCTCTGCTCTCCTCAGGATATTTGTGTTTAATGCAAATAGGCCTTTATGAAGAGATTATTTAAAACACATGGGGTTGTAATCTCGCTTTTTCCATTGAAATTCTAGTGTAACACCAGGTTTGGTCAAACCATCAGACCTTCTCTGCACTAGAAAGCTATTGGGTCTTTTTTTCTTTCTGTGTTTTGCTGGGTGTTTTCAACGTCAAGCTCTCTGGGCAACTCCAAATTCCTTTAGGTCTAGTGCCTTCTGAAGACGCTAGAAATTTTTCCAGTGTTATGGCTGATGACTGGATCATACCCACATTTTATTCCTAGCTAGATGATACCTTGTGTGGACTTCTTCCCCTTCGTAACACAAGGGCTCTACAGCCTTTCCCAAGATTTTCTGGGGGGGTGCTCCACTGATCCCAGTTGAGGTGGTGAAGGCTGTGCAAGCAACGTACCCCAGGCAGGTACATGGGCGTATGCATATACACACGTACGTGCTGTGCAATCTTCTACCATTCTCCCTTGTGGTAAATCCTTTCCCTAATCCCTTCTAGGATGATTAGGTAAAAACTACAGAAATGTAGCTATAACCTGTAGGCACGCTGAAGAGCTCGGGCGGGAATCTGAAGAGCAGGGACTCAGTATATATCATCTCGTTTCCAGCTTTTAAGGACACCAAGTTATTACCAGTTTCAGAATAGTCACATAAATCACTTCCTTAAGTTATTTTCATGCTACTTTTATGCTTTCTTTACTGTCCCCCTCTATGTGTGAACACAAAGAAGACTTAATGGTGAATCCCCATATTTTAAATCTTATGCGAAGGTAAACTGGCACTGGGTACTTAAGTTTAGTTGTAAGTTTAGATTTACAGAAAACCTGTTGAAGTAGGGATGAAAGAATCTCTTCCTTTGAAAAACATGTATGTTTCACAGATTTTTTGTTAAAATAGAGGATTCTTATTTGAAAATTGGTTCTTGTCCCACTGCAAGGAATCTTTCTACCTCCTGCATAGCGTTGTAATCCCCACAGAAGTATTTATAGGATAATACATTACTCAAACTTACAGCTTTCCAGCTGCATTATACATGTTTGCACATCCATTGGAAAATTTTTGAGATCCATCGGACAGGACAGTATTAAAGTCAATCTGAAAGAACACACGAAAAAAAAAATATTAGAAGTATACAACAGAAATGCCATAGAAGTGCACAGGGAGAATGCATGAAAGCACTGGAAGTCATTAGAAATAGAAGAAAATATATTTTTTCCTTAGAAAGCTCTCAAAACGGAGGTATATTAGCTGAACCCATTTCACTCGCTCAGTCTAGTGTGATAACGTGGAAAAAGATTACTGCAGACTTTCAGAGAAACAGATTTTTCAGTAGGATTGCCTGACTTTGAGAAGTCTAGAAGAATGCAACAACAGCATACTTTTTTTGTGCTATAGCAGAATTACTGTCGTGTAACAGTATTTTAAATCCTTGACATAAAATTCACCCAGATTTGCAAGAACTTCATAACAGATGTCAGCTGCAAATCATGGTGGCAAAGTAATTTATGTGTTATTGTCCTAAAATGAGGTGCTTGAATTGTCAACACAAAGGTTTAAGATAACATTTTATGATATTGACGGTAGACCGAAATATGCCTGTAATTTTGAACTGCAGCTGTGTTTTGCATTAGTCCTGATACTTCCTGTGAAACTCTTTGCAACCTATAGGCAAAAGAGGTATTTTTACGTTTCATATCAATGCAATATCTTATGTTTAGATTGATATTTCTCAGAGGAATGAGAAAGAAGAATATGAGTTAAAGATGCATATTTTCTCTCCCTGGCCATGTTTAGGTATCCTTTTATCATTCAGGGTCGTGACTGCACCTTTCTTCTTCCTAGAAAATAACTTGTGTGAAAACTTTGCCCCATATTTATTTATTAGTTTAGTTGATAGAATGTTCCCCAAAAACCTGAGGGTGCAATTCCTTACACGTAAGACTTCTCTAGAATGGCAGTGCTCTAATCCTCCTCTCTCAAACCCATTCTCCTGCTTTTGGTGTTTGGGCTAAAGGGAAGGGGGCAGTAGCTGGCAAGTATGGCTGTATATTTGTTTTACCCTACTGTTTTCCTCTCCAGAGCTTCTTGGTTCTTTGCTAGAGCTTCTGTTTAGCCTGCCAGTGACACAGCTGCAGGGGGAGAGTCCAAGGAGGGAACTCGGACCCAGACCATATTCCTGTGCTATTAAAAATGGCTCCAAAAGCAAACTCTGACTAGTAGGCTAGTAACATGGCAAGCCATTGCAGAGAAGAGGCACCCGGACTTTACTTTGTGCTGCAGTAAATATTTCAGTATTTAATATTAAGTGTTTATTGAATTGGGAACTGGAACCTTCTCATTATTTTCTTGCCTGAATTGTTCCAATACAATTAGAGAAGGAGGAGACATTAGGGAATGAAAAGAAAAAGCAAATTTAGAAATAATATTTTTTTTTTCTTTTAATATCAGCTCATTAGCAATTAGCATGTCTCCCCTCATCATAAGCTTAACTGACTCGCATTCATGTAAGAACTAGATGCCAATTACATGACTTTTCAGAAATTGTAGTAGTTCTTAATTACATCATGGCAATATAAACTTTCTGGCTCCATAAGAAACACAGGAGCTATCTGGCATCTGTTTTCATCACAATCAATGTTTGCTTTTATAATTTAATATTATATTCCTGCTATTTGGGTTCATGTGACCAAGAATTTGGTGTCAATTCTGTTGAAGCTGCAGTCCAGTCTTGCTTCTGTTGAGTGGTGGTGTCTACACTCTGTGGTGTGTGGATCCGGAGGGAGCAGGAGAAGGAGGAGGAGTTATTTGATTAGAGTGGAACAACTGTCAGTGCCAGCCAGGGTGACTCATTCTGGAGATAACTGATTTAGCTCTACTTTCTACTTGGGTCTGGAAAAGGAATCCGTTTTTCCTTGCTTTGCATCTGTTTCTAATGACAGAATGCATGCTGTGACACTGAAGGACAATGATGTCCCCAGACTGGCAGACTAACCTCCTTTTGGATATGAAATGCTTGTAGGAATTTTGGCCAGCAGGTCGAGGGAGGTCATCCTCCCCCTCTGCTCTGCCCTGGTGAGGCCGCATCTGGAGCACTGTATCCAGTTCTGGACTCCCCGGTTCAAGGACAGGGAACTGCTGGAGAGGGTCCAGCAAAGGGCTACAAAGATGATGAGGGGATTGGAGCATCCTTTTTTATAAGGACAGGCTGAGGGAGTTGGGGCTTTTTCAGTCTGGAGAAAAGATGACTGAGGGGGGATCTTATCAATGCTTATCAATACTCAAAGGGAGGGTGCCAGGGGGATGGGAACTGTCTGTTTCCAGTGGTGCCCAGTGACAGGACAAGAGCGAATGGGCACAAACTGGAGCATCGGGAGTTCCATCTCCACCTGAGGAGGGCCTTCTCTGCTGTGAGGGCGGCAGAGCAGTGGCAGAGGCTGCCCAGAGAGGTGGGGGAGTCTCCCCCTCTGGAGCCATCCCAAACCCGCCTGGACGCCGTCTGTGCCACTGCTGGAGGTGCCCCTGCTCTGGTGGGGGTGGGATGGGGGAGCTCCAGAGGGACCTTCCAGCCCTCACCAGTCTGGGATTCTGGGATTTTAACCCAGCCCTTTCTCCCTGTGTACCCTTGACAAGACACTGCCCACCTGCACTGGAAGGAGGGAGGAAGGAGACTCCCTTCCTACAGATACATTTTCTTTTTTTCTTACTATACTAACTGTTTTACAGGTTACTGATGTCTCTTCCAATAGTCCACTTACCCATTAGTGCAGTGTCGTAAAAGCAAAACAGCAAGTGGACAAGAGGTATATTTGTTTTGAAAAGCGTAACGGTTTGCACAAGTAGGTCACTGTAATAATACCAAATTTATATCGTGTTTGATGGGGCATTTGTATACTTGCATCCAATGTGTTTCTCATTAGATCAGGTTTTTGAAGATAGTGGTAAAATGCCTACTCATGTCTGTATTTATAAAAGGAGAGCAGGGAGAAGAGAAGTGGGATGACTAGTTTTTGTCAATACTTGATTGAACAGTAATGATGATAAAGTTCTGTATTCAAAACTCACAACAACTTTAGTGACAGTTCTGGCTGAGTAGCAACTGAAGATACCCCTTAACAATTCTTAGGTACACTTCTGAGCTTCTATCTGAAAAAAAAATCATTTGATCAGAGGCTCACCTGATGGAATAAAGCACATTTCCATTTTTGAAAATTCGCAGCAACTTATTATCTGTTGTAACTTCATGAAAGTTGGCACCTTTTTCATTAGCAAAGAACAAGTCAGGTTTCCAAATTGAATCCAGCATGGATGGATCTAAGTCTAAAGAGTCATCTGGATATTCACTGTATGCGAGGCGTGGATCATTCCAATTCTGACGGAGAAAGATGTTCACTCGGTAATCCTGCATGAGAGAAAACAAGCAAAGCTTTATCAAGCATAGGGATTTAGCTTTTATTTCATTTCTTAGCGATGTAATCCCCTGTCCATCTGTGGATGACAAAAGAATTACTTAGTTGAATGCCAGCATGATACCTATTTGTATTAGTGGGGACACAATGGATAAGAATAAAGATGCATTTCAGGGGAATTGAAAAAATCCCAAGCTAAGGAAATCCAACCTCCATGTACAGTTCATATATAACTCCATAGAACTCTGCCCCTGCAGCAGCTTTGTCTTGAAATCAAAATGAGAGAAGCTTAAAAAGAGTTTTCTGAAGTTACTTTCTTCTGCCCAACTCCTGGTAGGGGCATTCCCATTTCCCTCTCTTAGGCAGCGAAGATCTGTCCCACTGGAAGGGAAATTAAATTCTTTCCTTTTTTCTCTCTCTAATCCTTACATATTTTAGACCCACCACTTAAGAGTTTGTGCTCCTCAGTTTCCTGTTGTGTGAGCAGTAACTTGCCACACAGCTGGCTGAGGAGGACACATGTTCCTCACCCGTTCAAATATGGTGGAGACCATGTAAGCCCTTATGATAAATTAGTTCAGGTGCAAGTGGAGTCACCTTAATTCCTACAGACACTTCTGTCTTAATCAAGGGTCCTTTTATAGAAAAGGCGAGTGGAGTGTTTCAAACTTATAGAAGTCATTTTGGGGTTGTATATACTCTCTGTCAGAGACAATGTTGTATTTATGGCTACACACTATCTTAAAACTTAATCACTCTGAAAGATTAAAACATCTGTTTTTAAATAAAAGTGACTGTTAGCATCTCATGACATTATATCAAGAACTGAGAGAACTGAGACACTGAGCATAAGGACACAGGGACTATACTTTTAGTGGTCATAATACGATTTTCCTCATTATTTCCACTACTGCGTTAATGAAAGAAGATAAACATGAAATAGAAACAAAGACATGTTAGGGACAGAAGGGAAATGGGAGCTGGTTCTCAGAGCTTCTGAATGTAAGAGCAGTAAATAACATCACTTGTTTATTGTTAAAAAAGACAATGAAAACTAATTTTAAAATGAAAACCTTTTGAGTCAGAACAGGAAATGAAGTGTTCGAGGCTGAGCAATACAATTTGGCCAACAACTATGGGCAGTGGTTATTAGTGGTTAGAATAACTAGTTAAAACCCCACTGGTGTAGAAATTGTGGGTACTGTTAGAATTCCAGTGTCCTATCAATATTTGGTCTTATGAAACCTGGAATGTGTTCTCATACAGCTGTGAGAATCATGCCAACAGACACAAAGGACAACAGGAACCTCAATATGCAACATCGCGCATGAGAAATAGTTTTATAAACCTTCAACATCCTGCTGTTTTGGTCACTTTAATTACTCAGCTTGAATAAGGGTAGCCAAATATGCGAAAAACATGCTTACCAAGCATTTGTTGCTTGATAATGAGAAAATACTGCATATCATATAGAGAAAGACACAGTGGAGGATTTTGTGTTCATATAACCTTACAAATTTTCAAGGCAAAGACAGTAAATAGAAAACTACACCTGGAAAATGAAATTAATTCAGATTATCGTTATCACCAAATATGAAAAAGGCTCTCTGGCCAAATGGAAGCATATAACATTAAATGCCAGGTGGAAATAGCAGAGGATTTTTTAATCAATTGGTTTTTAAAAAAACATTGTTAATTAATTTGTTAATCCCCTTTTCAGAAAAGGACTGAAAGAAACTTCTCTTCTTTTTCCTCATGGCTAGCGGCTGCCTCAAGAGCCATGAAAAGCTCTCATGAGAAGCTGTTGATATTTTTCATAATTAGCCCCATGGAGTGATGAATCCAGAGCCAGGGGTTTGCACTTTACAGACGTAGGAACAAGTTGCTTTTTTTCCCCCTAAAGTAAGCCAAAACCCTTAGACTGAGCTTTTGGTGTCTTCCATGCCGCAAGAGGGCATAATATCCCCTGAAATACCTGTATTTCTTTGCACAGTATCCCAAATACCATGTTGTACCAGTTCCCCTTCTAAATTCCTGTATCAAATCCAAAGGCCGAGAAGAAGCAGGCTGTGGGAGCACTGCAGCTTGTCGGACTCCATCTGCACTTAAGCCAAAGCCAAACCTGAGCTTTTAATTTGTATACCCTGAATTATCTCTATTTATTTTACTTTTCTCTGTAGAATGCAATAAGTTTATGAATGGGATTACTCACACAGTAAGGGACTTCTCTTATATATAAAAGTGAAGCATGCATAGCAGAAAGTTCAGTGGGAAATGGAGGAAGACAAATGGACGAATATATTCTAGGTTATATTAAGCTATTCTTTATGTCAGTTTGCCGAAAGTTTATTGGTTTAAATTGTTTCCAGCTTTTAAGATGAGGAAAACCCTAGTTAAATTTTTCATTTTCGTTGTTCTCTCACCTGAAAACTCTGACTGAAATTGGCTCTCATCCTTCACTAAAAAAATGCCTAATCTACTGAAAGAGATACATTTGACTATTATTGTGTGAAGGACAAGTACTCATCATCTCAGCTTATACTTGCACGTTGTGAGCACATGGGGTAACTGCTTTAAATAAGTCGATGCAAACACAGAGACCAGAATTAAACTGCCAGAATTGATTTGTTTTCCTAGAAGAGGATTATTGTTCTCATGTTCAACTTGCCCAGAGGGGTGACTCCTAACTCAAATAACTCTGCCTTGGCCGGGTTCCTTGAGGGGAGAGAGAGAAACCATCATTTAAGTAGTGGTGACTTCCACAGCCACTTCTATAACCTCCAGGCTGCCATCGTCTGAGCAGCTGCTGGACCCTGCTTCTGTGGAATGAGATCGCTCGACAGGTCTCCACTTGCTCCACTGTCCTTCGAAACCCTGGGCCACGGGGTGAACTTTCTTAGGTCAGGATAATGTTCATCTGCTTCACAGGGCTCTCTAAAATAGAAACTGGGAGACTGGGTAGGTGCTTTTTGCTGTCCGTGCTGAGGCTGAGGCCGTTATGGACTCCAGTACTAACGTTTTGATTAGCAATTTCCAGCACATGGTGGAATTGAAAATACTTACAGAATATGTTGATTCCTTCTTCGTTATATTGATACAGATAGGACCATACTCCCATAGCACACAGAATACAGCTAGACTGCTTTATGGAAACTTTTGCACAATTCCTCAAGATATCAATTGCCAAACTCTCACTGGTTTCTTTAATGCATTTTTAAGATGCACTATATGTGGAATCCTTCTAGATCTGAGACATACATATAAAAGCAAATTTCCAAAATACGCCCTTCATTTGAGCATTGCATATCATCTGCTCTTATAATTTTTGAATCCTGTCATTTGAACAAAATCATCAAATTTTCATGCGTAAATGAATACGCTTCCAGAACTCTACCTGTTGCAGTTCCAAATGCTACCATAATTTTGACTAATATATCCATCTAAGGGAAATCTAGAGTAGCCATTTGCATAATGTGGCCAAATGAATCTTGCATGATTTGTTCTAGCTCACTGTAAAATTTTAACATGGTATTCTTACAGACTTTCCAAGAACACCGCTGAGTAAATTTAAAGGCAGTCTGAGAAGTATTGCTCTTGTGAAGAATCTTTTAAAATCTGATATCTATGGCTCTTTGTTGTACTGAAAGCTGGATGTGATCCTCTCTTCCTGAGAAGATATCACAGACGTACGGGAAAGAGCTGCTCACGTGAAGGCTGAAGTGAGGAATGAAAATTAGCAGGGAGACCTGGAGTAAAAATCAGGCAGAACTGGAGACAACTGCTCAAGTCATGGGAGGAACAGGGATTGATGTCAATGGTTTAAGTAGATGTTACAAGGGAGAGGAATATGTCTTAGGAAGAATAAGTCCCAAGGGAATCCTGGCCTAAAAAAGGAACCGATGTCTTGAAGAGGCACTTCAAAGGAAGTATAATATTGTAACTATAGTGGGCTATTTGTTCTACTGAATTTATTTATAACCCCATAGGGAACGAGGCTTATTTGGTCATATAGTTGTGTGTGTTATCATTCTTCTCCCTCTATTCCCTCCCCCCCCAAAAAACAAAGAGTTGTCAGGTGTTCTGTTGCTCGTGAAATAGTATTAGTAGTTTCATATTTCAACACATCCTCCATACGCCAACCTAAAAAGGAACGTTGTATAGCATATGTCACTTCCTTTTCCATTTTGTTTATTGGGTACATGAAAAACATGTTTGCACTTTGTTCTACAAAATATTATGGTTGCCATATGTATTTTACCTTCAATATACTTTGACTTCTTAATCTTGATGTAATTTTTTAAAGAAGATACTTGCAACAGGCTAATTAAAAGCCTTTTGCATTTTTACCTTTAATATTTTAATTTTGATGTAATACTGTGGGGAAAAAAAAAATGTTAGGCTAAAGACTAACTCTGCAACTGGAAGATAAAATGGAAAACTAACCAGAAAACAGTTATTTTCTGAACCGGATGAGTGCTGCACAATCCAATGTAGTGCTAAACTTGTTACTGCTATGGAACTGCAGTAAAAACAAAATGTTAACTTCTTTGTTTCGTAGCTTCTCGGATGAGTTTTGCCCTTCTAACATATGCTTCCCTGGTTTACCAGAGCTAGAATTTTTTTTTTTATTTTTTTTTACCTTGGAAAACCATCAGAGAAAATTTCACAAGAAGTAAAGGGTGATTTTGGGTTTTGTTATACTAATACAAAGTACCATGTGGGGACTTGATGGATACAGGTTGTCATAGTTGTCTTCTTTCTCAGGTTTGCTTTCTCGTTCTCACTGCTGTACATGAAAAACCACTCTGTTACAGAACACGTTAATAGTTTTAATTTTTACTGGTGAGATTTGCTAAAGTTGCTGTCTGTCTCTGAAAAACATGCAACTTGACATGCTTTTTATTGCTGCCTTGATTAGTATAATTAGACAAGATGCCCTGTGGCACATTACTACTTTGTAGTAATAACATCTCTCCATTTTAAATTTGTTCAC